ACCCCCCTTTGCCAATCCCTGCACTGGCTTCCAATAGCCCAAAGGATAAAATTCAAAATATTAACAATCAGTTACAAAGCCATCCACAACTCCGCCCCCGGATATATCTCAAACCTGGTCTCTAAGTAGCACCCTAACCGTCGGCTCCGCTCTTCCCAAGACCTCCTGCTTTCCAGCTCCCTTGTCAACTCCTCCCATGCTCACCTCCAGGACTTCTCTAGAGTCTCTCCCATCCTCTGGAATTCTTTACCCCAACCTGTCCGTCTGTCGCCCACCTTGACTGCCTTTAGGCGTTCCCTAAAGACTCATCTCTTCAGGGAAACCTATCCCTCCTCAACCTAACCGCTCGACCATCACGTTCTCAAACAATTCATCCCCACGCAGCTCCCTCCTCATGTATCACTTACCCCTCCCTTTTAGATTGTAAGCCCTCAGGGACAGGGCCCTCCTTACCATCTTGTCTTGAATTGTATTGTGATTGAAATGTCTGCCCTATATTGTAAAGCGCTGCGCAAACTGTTGGCGCTATAGAAATCCTGTATAATAATAATAATAATGACATCCTAATGAAAACTAACCTGCTACACTAGTGACACCTAGTGGACACAACAAGGATGTGCATTTAAAGAGTCTAAACTCAGTTGTCACCTCATCTCAGTGAAGGAAGAAAAAATTCCCTTTTGCACAATTCCCTCCCTCCACCTCATATATAATTTTCAATAAAAAAAACAACAACAATTGTTTATCTATAACTCTGGTCACGTGACATGCGGTATCCCAGGTCTTCTCTCTTCTGGTCCGTAGTGTGGGAGGGTCACTTCCCAGTGACCATAGTGGTTCCCATTGGCTGATGGAAGAGTCAATCACCAAGTCCCCAGCTAGACTTCATGACGAGGGGCTGTCACATGAGCTGAGCAGCGGAGAGCATGGAGAGGAGCGTCTGGTCACCAGCAGAGGTGTCACAAGGGGGGGTGTGACTTGCATCAGGTGACACCATCAGAGGAGGGTGACACCAAGATGACTGACAGTCCGCTGAAATGTCGGGCACATGGTCATGGACCGAAAACCCAACAGCTGCACGAGAGAGGAAGGGACCCGGCGGCATACCTGATCCCACCAGATGAACGTCCTCTCCTCTCTTTGCCGGAGTCCATCACCGAGATGGACGCAGGCAGTGAAGTACACGTGACATCTTTACGCGCGTACGTAATTATATCACGTGTATACGCAATGACAGGGGCACCGGCTGATGCCCAGCCTGGTGATGCCGCTGGCCATCAGTCGCCACTGGGGATCAAATGACAGAATATTCAGAGGCTGGGGGGGGTGCGGGTGAGATTTTTAGAGGAGCTGTGGGCAAATAACGGGGTACAGCCCTCCCCTTCTGTACTGGGCCCCATCGGTTCAGCAGGTTGGAAGCCGCCACCCGCTGCTGCTTTAGAGCTCTCTCATCCCTAATGGGAGCTGGCTTCATGCTGCAGTCAATCTCCCCTCCGATCTCTGCTGCTCTCCCCTGTCCGTATCAGCAGAGGCAGCAGGGATCAGAGGTGACACAGACTCAATACACCGCCAGTGCCCAGTGGGGAGGAGAGACCAGTGGCACCAGAGTCAGGATTCTGAGCGGGGTTGTCAGGATGTAGAGCGGGGAGGTGACGGGCAGAGCTTCAGGGTGGTCCATGGGGTAGGGGGGGCGCAATACTTGCCTTGCCCCGGGTGCTGGCAACCCACTCTACACCACTGCAGGGGTAATAGCAGTGATCTCTACTAGCCTCAGGTAACTTCCCCTCCAGTCTCTCACTGTCCTCTGCAGCATATCTCCAGCCCAGCCTTTCTCAACCAGGACGCCATGGCACAGTGGGGTGCCCGTTGGCTTCCTCAGGGGTGCCTCGAAAGTTGGTGATAGTACCCTGTTTCCCCGAAAATAAGACCTACCCCGAAATTAAGATCTAGTACTATTTTTGGGAATTGCTAAAATATAAGACCTACCCTGAAAATAAGACCTAGTTGTGACAATTCCCATGGCCGCTAAGGCATAAGGGGGAACTTGAATAGCCGCAGGAGAGAATCAGCGGTGCCAACGAAGCCAGCGCTAGAGGACGCGAGGCGGCAGCGCAGGGAGCACACCCGCATAAGCTGATGTTTCCTCTATAGCGCCGTCTTCTGCCACAGGCGGAGTGATACCAAATGCACGCCTATGAGGAATCTATAGTGAAAGTGCGCTTCGTTCATTCTGGTTACCAAATTGCTCTTGGAAAGGTATGGCACCCCTGATTGCCCTGATCACTCTATTCTTAACTTTGCCAGTTTGGATTATTAATTTGGATTTACATTAACTTTGGATTGTTATACATTAAAAACAAAAATAAGACCTACCCCGAAAATAAGACCTAGTGTGTTTTTTTGAGCCAAAAAAAATATAAGACAGTGTCTTATTTTCGGGGAAACACGGTAGGCTTTAGATGTGAAGGGGGAACTCTGATGAAAAAGGAGGAATTCTGGTATGAAAGGAACGCTCTGATATAAAAGGGTTTTCTGATGAAAAGGGGGCTCATGGCATGAAGGAGGGTCCTGATGTAAAGGGGGCTCCTGGCATGAAGGGGGGTCCTGATGTAAAGGGGCTCCTGGCATGAAGGGGGTCCTGATGTAAAGGGGCTCCTGGCATGAAGGGGGTCCTGATGTAAAGGGGCTCCTGGCATGAAGGGGGTCCTGATGTAAAGGGGCTCCTGGCATGAAGGGGGTCCTGATGTAAAGGGGCTCCTGGCATGAAGGGGGTCCTGATGTAAAGGGGCTCCTGGCATGAAGGGGGTCCTGATGTAAAGGGGCTCCTGGCATGAAGGGGGTCCTGATGTAAAGGGGCTCCTGGCATGAAGGGGGTCCTGATGTAAAGGGGCTCCTGGCATGAAGGGGGTCCTGATGTAAAGGGGCTCCTGGCATGAAGGGGGTCCTGATGTAAAGGGGCTCCTGGCATGAAGGGGGGTCCTTTAATGCAAAGAATGGAACCCCACTTTTTCATGTGTTTTTGTTTAGCCCCCCCCCCCCTTACATTTTAGACTGGGGCGCCTCAAGATTGTGCATACTTTTTATGGGTGCCGTTGTTCTGTCCTTGTAATTCAGAAGTGAATATCGTTTCAAAGTGTTTTGTTCGTGTAATATTACATTATGGAAGATAGACTATAAATACGGATTTCCTGTGCTCCTTTAGCTCCACCTAGAGGCCATAATGCAGTATTACATGACAACGACTGAAAATTAACTCCGCTTGTAAACAAAATAACTATCTTCTGGACCATCTGCGGGTTGAGGGGTTCCGTGGATGTCAGGGGATCTTAGTTCATTTATTTTTGCCTTTGGGTTTAACTTGTGGACACAGATCTGTGCAGCACTTTATATACTCCCCTCTCTATAGACAGGGAGATAGAGTGTGTGCACCACTTTATACCTACCCCCCACCCGTCTCTATAGGCAGAGCAATAGAGTGGGTGCACCACTTTATCCCTTCCTCCAACCTCTCTCTATAGACAGGGCGATGGAGTGTGTGCATCACTTTATCCCTTCCTCCAACCGCTCTCTATAGACAGGGCAGTGGAGTGTGTGCACCACTTTATCCCTTCCTCCCACCTCTCTCTATAGACAGGGAGGTGGAGTGTATGCACCACTTTATACCTTCCCCCCACCCCTCTCTATAGGGCGGTGGCGTGTGTGGACCACTTTTTACCTTCCCCCCACCCCTCTCTATAGGGCGATGGAGTGTGTGCACCATTTTATACCTTCCCCCACCCCTCTCTATAGGGCGATGGAGTGTGTGCACCACTTTATACCGCACAATATTTGCACAATCGCTTACCAAATTTATATTTTCAGAAAAACATACACATAAATTTAATGGAATGTGTGCAGGACTTTCTATCTTCCCCACTCTATAGGCAGGGAAATTAAATGTTTGCAGGACTTTCTATCTTCCCCCTCACCCCTCTCTATAGGCAGGGAAATGGAATGTGTGCAGGACTTTTTATCTTCCCCTCTCTATACACATAAGGTTGAATTTGAAGCACTTTATATCGTGTTCGCACCCCTCTCTTTGCACAGGGCATGCAGTGTGTGTAACAGTGTATATCTTCCCCTCATTTTTTGGCAAAGGAATGCAGTATGTGCAGCATTTTCTTTCTTTCCCTTCCCTCACAGACAAGCTCCGCCTCTCCACCCTTAGAACTCCGCCCACGGTTTGTGTGTGTGTGTGTGTGTGTATGTGTTAGCTGACCTCACTCCTTTGAGCACTGTAACGTCCTCTGAGTGACGTCAACCCACCAGTGACTCCTCCCCAGTCTCGCGGGATCGGGAATTATCGCGAGACGTGCGTGCCTGAGTGTGGAGGAAAGAGGCGCTCCGTGGACGGTGAGTGTTTTGGGAAGCGGGAGGGAGGTCTGTGTGTCCCGAGCTGTGTCGATGCCTCTCTCGGGATAGGAGTGCGGGTAGAGCAGGCAGAAATGCGGAGAGCGCTCGCCTTTATGTGCGGCCTATGATATTGCCGGCACACATTACCGGCACAGAGCTGGGCCTAAAGTTATATCCCTCCGCCAGTTCATCTCTTTCCATGAGCGCATCACGACCATGGTCAGTGGTATCCCTCCGCTTGCTAATTCACCATATAGGGACTCTTTATATGGGACCCCCGGCATTAAAACAAGGCCTGATGGTGATATACCTCCGCCAGGGGATCACCTGTGGGGAGCAGTGATATCCCTCCGCCATGGGATCACCTGTGGGGGCGCAATGATATCCCTCCGCCATAGGATCACCTGTGGGGCGCAGTGATATCCCTCCGCCATGGGATCACTTGTGGGGCGCAGTGATATCCCTCCGCCATGGGATCACTTGTGGGGCGCAGTGATATCCCTCCGCCATGGGATCACCTGTGGGGCGCAGTGATATCCCTCCGCCATGGGATCACTTGTGGGGCGCAGTGATATCCCTCCGCCATGGGATCACCTGTGGGGCGCAGTGATATCCCTCCGCCATGGGATCACCTGTGGGGCGCAGTGATATCCCTCCGCCATTGGATCTCCTGTGGGGGTGCGGTGGTATTCGTCCGCCATTGGATCACCTGTGGGGGTGCGGTGGTATCCCTCTGCCATTGGATCACCTGTGGGGGTGCGGTGGTATCCCTCCGCCATTGGATCACCTGTGGGGGTGCGGTGGTATCCCTC